TTGAGGACTACGAGGAAGCTTTGTGACCCTGCCTCTCAACACTTTTTAATCAGAAAGTGTTTAAATAAAGAATGGACTGGATATTCTCCTTCCTCATTCTGCAGGTTGGAGGATAATCCTGTAATGTCAGCATCACTGCCAAGTTTTTCTCCCTCCCTATATACAATTCCTTTCTCCATTCAGACAGATACTTTGCCCCCCCCTTATTATGTTTATTCATTCAATCCATATTTATTATATGAGTACTATGGATTCTTGTAATCTGAAAGTTGATATTGTCAATTAGTACTATAAAAGAAAATAAATACAAAACATATTTTGAAAACTCTTATAAAATATAAAAAGACTGATTATCTCAGAAAATACAGTAAATCAAGAGACAAGAACTGCTCAGGTAATCATTATAAAATGTTATGTTACCATTTCAACAATATTTTGTCTTCTGTTTTTGGATTCATTCATTCATTCATTCATTCATTCATTCATTCAGTATTTACTACCTACAGTGTATTAGGCATTGTGAAAGTCTTGAGTTAAGCCAGCCAATTGCAGATTAATTAACTCAATCAATTTATTGCTTAGAGATTATTTGTCAATCTCTTGTTATTAATGATTGTTTTAATGATTTAACCCCTGAACAGTTAGATGCCTAGTACAGCCTCTATATTCTAATATAGATCACTGGATGATGAGCTATGTATTTAAGGAGAAAAAAAATAAATGGTGGAAGAATAAAAATGATGGAAAAATAATAAAACCAATATTTATTGAGTACTTACTATGTATCAGGTGTTGTGTTAAGACATACTATTTTATTTCATCCTCAAAACCTTAGGAAATTCTCCTTTAATTTTAAAGACAAGGAAAATAAAGCCCATGGAGACAAGTAACTTGCCCATGATTGCACAATTATTAATTTGAAGATGGGATTTGAACCTTTGTAAGTTGATTCTAGAGTCACACTCTATTCTTCCTTTGTAGTGGGAAGAAGACAAGAGTGAAGGAGTAGAAAGGAAGATGAGAAGATGGGAAGCTAAAGTTATCATGCATCTTATTTTACTTATAGTTCTATTCAAATATGTTTCTTTTTCCTTATAAAACACTTCTTTAAAGAGTTCAGAATGGAACCCTGAATATATAAATGGGCACTGGATTGAATCCCTATCATACTAAGTCAGACTTCATACAGACCCCATCCCCTGACCACATAGTAGGCACTGAAAACAGAGATAAAAAGATGGTCCCAAAAGGAGGAGGAAAAAGAAGAAAAGAAGGGACAGATGATCCTTCCTTTTATCAGGAGCCTCCAAATCTTAGGCGACCTAGCCCACTTTTCAACTATGACTTTCTTATCGATGAAAATTAAGAATAACGTTTGTATTGGAATGTTTGCCTGGTTAGATAAACAAGTGCTCAAAATAAAGTGATCATAGAGAAAAATCAGAAACCTGCATAATTTATACAATATTTAGCTTTTAGAAGCCTTGGAGACACAATTCTAAGGAATGGAAAACAAAGTTGTGTTTCTAGGTATACTAGACATGAATGTGTATTTAATAGTCATTTATATTTCTATATACATTTTCAGATACAGAAAAATGTGGTTATTAATGTCCTTGGCACACGTTATAGGCCATTAAAAGCTAAGGTAGAAGATACCTGGGATTTTCCAGCATATCATTATACTTCTTTAATATTCACGAATAAGACAGTTACTCCAAAAAAAACCACAAAAAACAAAAACAAACAAACCAGCTAGACTTAGAATCATATATTTTCTCATGCTTTTGTATTATATAATGATATGAAACCATCTCATTCATGAGAAAAGTTGCCAAAAGCTGAAGACAAAATGATTAAACAAACAACCAGACTAGATTGTACTAAGAAAATCTAACATGATTCACACTATAATCAATAGGTGCAACTGACATTTGAAAAGTGTAACTTTAAGTTTTCGTTTTGATTTAAAAAAAGAGAGAGAGATAGATAAAGAGACAGGATTTCTAGAGTATATATGTGTTCCCAATAACATAATATTTGATCATCCTGAAGTTCTGATTGTTTTTCCTTGATTTTCAGCAGAGCCTGAACTAGTATTCAAGAATAAACCTAAATACTGCACTGCCCTTTTCAAAGTAGAAGCATTTGAAACAGATATCCAACCCATGTAAGCTATAATCTTTTAAAGGTGCAGTCTCCCACTAAACAAGAAAAAACCTAAACCTAAAAAAAAAAAAAAATGACTTTAGGTCATTTAGAAGCTAAATGCTTCTAAGCATAAATATATATGCTATATGTGATCAGGTTTATCTGTTTAAATATTCTTTGAACATATAAATGGACCCCATTTAATTTTTTTGTCTTTTTTTTTTCTGATCCACTAATTTTTTCTTTCTTGCTCAAGTCTTTGCCACCTGATAATTATGTTTTGAAACTGTATTTCAATTAATCATCCTCCAAATGCATCCCCATATATCAGCCTTTTTCAAACAATTTACTCTTCATGGTCCATCAATAAGTTATACAAATGAAATGACTGTTTTCACTGTGTTGTCATCTCCCTCTTGCCACCACCCCCCCAAGAAAAATGAACAAAAAATACTTACAATGGTTTTTAGCCAGGAGCATTTTATCCCTTATTCACTAGTGGTAAATGAGTCAGATATGAGTTGGCCAGGAAAAGAGCTGCTTTACCCAAAATCTTAGTACAAAATGAGTCATCTCACTCCAAGCACCAATATATCCTCCAAAATAATTGGCAAGAATTTCCTATAAAAAGAATCTTGCCTTCACTCTTTTCCATCCATTTAGTTTTCTGATTTTTCTAATTTTTAAATTTCCTGTGTACTTACAATATTACATTCATAACAAAGGCCCAAGAACATTTCCACCTCTTTATCTCATTCTGAAAGTCTTTCCTGTATTGAGTAGGGGGACAATTTGGATAGCATGCCTCTGGAAAGAATAAATATTCTGTGGCTTTCAAGGTTTCTGTCTCTGACTCTTTCTGATGAAATTCATGCATGGTTCAATAGACATGCAAAAGTCAATTTTAGAAGAATTTTTCTTTTCCTCTGCTGAAAAAGTGAGTGCAAAGCCATAGAAAATAATTCAAACAAAACTATTTTTCTTTCTCTAAGAAAAAAAATCAATCAAAACAGATATAATGTGTCTAATACTGATAAACAAATATGAATCCAGGTCATAAGCATCAACTCTGTTTCCCTACACATCAAAACATTCACATTCCCATTCTTTGCCACCAAAGGAAGCTTAAAAATCACTGTGAACCAAAAAAATAGATAGATAAATAAATAATCACTGTGAACTGAAGCTGGGGTTAAGTCCCTGCAGATTATCAGAAGTCAAATACACCTTTTACCTGATGATAAGCAAGCATGCTTATAGAGCCAATTCCTGCCAAAGTGCTGAGATTTTTATATTACTTGGGGTGTATAACAGAATTTATTATTCTTAATTATTCTAAGCAAAATTATTTATAACTCATTTCACTCTGGTTGGAATTTAGTTTCATTTCTCTATATTAAATGAATTCTAAATAATAGATATACTCCTTTTATATCCAGCACTAACAGATGTTAGTTTCCTCAGTTTTATAGCCCTCAGATGACGGACAACTAACTGCATTTGGCTTTGGGAATAATTGCAACACCTTTGGATTATGAACTTGGTTTGGTTCTTAGTTGGGAACGGCAGGGGGTTAGTTCATATTATCAAAGATGTAAAATAAGTTTTCCTTTATGTTCCACATGCCCACATGAAGATGTTTTCTAATAAAATATTGTACAACTATTTTTTTCTATAGGTAATCTGGTCTTTAAGTGGTTATAGTAAGAAAAAAATACTTGTTTAAAATTGAAATCTCTTATTCAATGCATCTCCTGCTGTTGACCAAAGCAAGATGTTAAATCCATTAAATTCTGAATATCCAGTAAAAGCAAGAAAGCTAAAACTGTTTAAATTGTGCATTCTTGGGAAAATTGCCAACTAAGTACTAGGTAGCAGGATCTGTGTAATTAATGGTGATGTTATTGACAGAGGGAATATGATTTCCTTCTCAGAGCAATTTAGAAGTGCAAGCTGGCAAACTTCAGTAAAGCCTACCTGATTCATTTTTAAATTGAGAAAATGTGACTTTGAAGACAGCCAGAGAAAGCACCAATGTTTATATATATATGTACATTTGTGATGGCCTTGACTGTAGCAGACTTAAAAAAAATCCTAAATGTAGCATTGTCTGTATGATAGGATGATGAACACCAAAATGCACAAAGTGACAAATATTTCTTAAAGGAGAACAAGCAAACCCAATCTTAGGTTAATATTATTTTTCTTTTCCTGAATGCTATATTCATATGAAGACTAATTGGAATCAACTTCTTCTTATCAGAAAGTGGAATAAAATCAGACTCAAGAGTCCATACATTCCTTTATACAAACTCCTGTCTCCATTGGAGGCACCTTCTATCTTTACCCAGTCCTTGGACCGAAAGGGCAGTCACAGAAAGATCCTGTATGTATTTAGGTTATCCAACTGACTAGTAATACTTTCAGCTTCCTCTCTCCTTTTTCCACTTTGTTATAGCAGTAATTTTGAAATGATGATAGAAGGAAAAAGATTATCTGGAAAAATAGAGAGAACTAAGGAAAGAAGTAAAGCACACAAGTAGCTCTTTTCCACAATGATCTGCATTTAAATTAGCCAATGAGGAGTGATTTCTCTCACCATGTATCTCATCCACTCTAATTCTCTGTGTACTGCAACCACATGCTCCAGCTCTGTGTTTCCCATGAAGAATGAAACAAATGAATTCTTGGTGGCCTACAGCATTTGCTGTGGAATCTGTGGCTTTGAAGAAGACAAGTGGTGGAAGTAGAGGAGACAAGTGAAGGAAAGCCTGGAGAGAGGTTCACAAATGCTAATGATGAGCCTGGATGTTACTGACCTTAATGACTCCCCCATGTTGGATCCATACCTGCTATCTTCTGAAGCAAAGGGGTGTTCTACATCTACCGTCAGGGAGGCCAGGGCAGAAACAGTCTCAGTCTCCTCCTGCAACTGAGTCCCAGCCAAAGCACAACCCCTTGGCACAGCCACCATCCTTACTGACTTCCAGTACTTGCCTAGGAAAAAAAAAGGCATCATACTTTAATAGGAATTTTAAAGCAGTATTAATCAGAATACTTATATAGATCCAACTCAGAGCAGTTGTTAAAACTATCTATGTTATACACAGCTGTAATTTGGCTTCTTAAATGTTATGATTAAGTCTTTTTCTCAATCTAAGAATGCCAAGTTGTGAAGTACTAATGGTCCCGAGCCCGAGTCTCTCCCTCGCTTAGAAGATAATAAAGTGAGGAACAGTCCACGGTCTAATGAACTCACTATCAGACTGACAGCTGTCTCTACAATTAAATAATAAACAAACTCTGGGCATAGCGCCCTCTGGGAAACCCTTAAGAGACTAAGAGGTAGAAGTCTCATGGAGAAATTGAATGAAATAGTCATGTTAAAAATTGCTACTTGAGCTATTACCTTTTTATAAAAAAAAAATACGAGGTTAGAATATTAAAGAAAAAGAAAAGCCCAGAAATGCCAGCATGAATCGAATGGCAACTTTGCCAGAACAATCAGGTTTGTTAGTCCTGGATGTTCTTTCTTTCTCAACCCCAGGGTGTGTACTAGAACAATAATTGATTTAAAACTTTAATATATGCACTGGCTGATATTGGCACCCTTCCATATGTCAGACGGAAGTTTCATTTTTTGAGGCAGGGAAGGGGAGTAAGAGGAAAAGAGGAGGTCATTTCATGAGAACATGCCAGTGGAATAAACATGAAAGAGAGAGTCAATGGCTTTCTCGCAGCCCGAAGCTATTTTTTAAAGTGTTGAGTAGTTCGAAATCAAAGCAGGAGAATCTTCCTAGGTGGTGACATGACTTACTAGGTTAGAACTATCTCTGTAGCCTGACCAGTGAGGTAGGAATTTGACTTGGATTGGTAAGGAAGATAACTGGGTTCTGGACCACGCTCTGCCACTGACCAACCTATCATGCAGGTAAGATTCTCTGGCACTTCATATCTGCTTCTCAAAACAGGGGAATGATCTCAAATCCCTTCCAGCTCTAACATTTTGCATTCGGCCTTTCCTTATCTTACTGCCTTAAAAAAGAATGGATATCATATTAGGGAAGGAGACTCAGTCTCCCCAACTACTTCCCATGCCAACAGAACCTTCTGACAGTTGACCACTACAACTTTACTTGCTGTAATTACCTATTCTGTCCTAAGTCTGAGAATCATAAAGCTTTCAATTTGGACCAAATGATAGCAATTCTAACTGTGAATAAACCCACAAGCTAACATTTTGAGGTATTGAGGACATAAAGATACTTTCCTCGCACCAAGAAATTCATGGTCTAAATGACAAGACTCTGTGGAAAAGGCCCATGTGATCCTCAGAGGAAGTAAGTAGAACATATACTTATGATGATGGGAAAGTGAGAGAAGAGCTGGCAGAAAAAAATAGTACTTAACCAAGTATTTGAAAGACCATCAGAAGTTAGTCAACCTGAAACAGAGGGAGGTGATGGTGATGAGGTATTCCTAGCACAGGAAAGAGTACACACAAATGTGCACAGACTTGAGTCTCAAGTCTCTGTGGGCTTCTTTTTTGGGGGGCAGGGGGTGATGTGGGTTCAAAGTCCACTACTAGGAACTACTGGAATGTTTGAAAAAGTCTTGAGTGTGATGAGGTAGACCGTTGCAGCAAATATGTGCTAAATAACACACAATCTTGAATAACATGCAAATGATCTTGGACTCCAACTTGTAGGTATAAAGAGGGCAATTTTAAGCAGAAGATGCAGGGAATCAGGTTTAAGTTTTTCAAAGATCCCTCTGGACAGATCATGGACAATGAACTGGAAGGTGATGAGAGTGATGGCAGGCTCATAAAACTGGAGACAAGTGCTCACTGTAGAGGAGGAGTAAGGAGTCCATTGAAGATGGAGGCCTGAACTAAAAGTCAAGACTTCCAGATTGGAGACTACACACTAGACCCAAAGAAATCACTTGGATCACTCTGGGGCACAATTCCCACATTTATAACATGACAGTGAAGGGCCTGATGATAATGAAAGGGTTCTCCCTGCTGTAATTCTCAGTGATTGTGATTTTTCTGATCTCATGTTATGTCTTACTCTTGGATGTTAGAATGAATTTGTTTTGGAAGAAAATCTTACTTTTCTGTGAGTCCGTAAACCCGTGAGGAGGTCAGTAAACACTTGCTTTTAGATAATATGGCACATCTAGAATAACCATGGGTTTTAATTTTTAAGCATTGTACTTTTTCCTCAAGAAGAGAATTCTTGGCCATAGACAAAACAAACATCTTTACTCCCTAAACACAATCAGAACAGAAGGTATGAATCATTAATAATGATTTCAGCAGAATGACTGACAATGATCCTTTAACATTTAGCCTTTATGTATGTGAGTAGTAAGAAAGATTTTAAATAGCTAAGACCTTTTTGAATAAAATTTAATGTGTATAAAATATCCTGCTAAGTTAAGACTAAATGTTGTTAGTTTGGTTTTTATCCAAATGTATGAGGTTTCTGACTCAGAAATAACCCAAAACTTTGAATTCAATATGGCCTCTGGTGAAGCCTATAAAAACAAAGGAAATATTCTACATTAATAATGCATTCATAGACTACTATCTCTACTTGTAAAGGAGAATAATTAAAATGAAGTGGGTATAGCATAGACTGTGCAATATGCAGCCAATTCAAACTCCAAATTTATGGGTTATATTTTCACAAGATGAGTTTTTTTTTTCTTTCAGAAACATATGTGCTAGAAAATCCTATCTGTTGGCATGAGAATAATATGCTTATTAGCACACAAGAAAAATGAACCAAAGTTTACTGCTAGAGTATTTAGGAGCTGCTATTTATAGAGTAAGATATTAGAAACCAGCAACCACTGGATTGCTCTCCTAAAGCAATAAAACTGTCAAAAGAGAGGGGTTTTCCACTAACACTGGTCATGCACACTCCTTTGGTCATATCCTCTATCCTTATTTGTTTTGCCCACTATGTAAACCTCCCCACTTTTCAGCATTTTCTTTTATCTTTTCTTTTTTCTTTTCACTTTCTTCCTCCCTCCCTCCCTTCCCTTTCCCGTCCCTCCTTTTCTTTCTCTTTTTTTTCCTTCCTTCCCTCCCCTCCCTTCCTCTTTTTTCTTCCTTCCTCTTCCTTCCTCTTCCTTCTTTCCTTCCTTCCTTCTTTTCCTTTCTTTTCTTACTTCCTTCCTCCTCTCCTCCCCTACCCAGCCCTTTCTTTTTCTTCCTTCCTTCTCCTTCCTCCCTCCCTTCCCTCCTTCCTTCCTTTTCTCCGACCCTCCCTCCCTTCCTCTCTTCCTTCCTTCCTTCCTCTCTGACTATTTAGCCTTCACTACTCTGCATTTTTGTTTTATCTGATAAAGGCAAAGGAAAGAATGAATCTAAAATAAAGGTAAAAACTAGATAATAGATGCAGATGGTCAAGAATTAGAGGGCAGGCCAAAGATGGAGTTACTGGGTCAGATATGAGCCAGGAGAGGACCTCTTGCAGGTACTGAATAATCAGACTTCAGCATAAACCACATTGTTCTTGGTAACGAAAAATTTAGAAAAAAAAAAGTATTTGCTGATGTACGAAGGTCTGGGTTAAAAATAACCCAACTGTCAAAAGTTTTACCAACCAAAGCCTCTGACACTGCAAAAGCCTCCTCATTCCAGAAACCTCACCCTTCCCCTCACCATTCTGGGGGCTAAGAGTCACTTCTCAGACTTGTTCTTATGATTTGAATAATATTGTCTTTTGTTATTACACACTATGTTCTCATAGGACAAGAAACTGTTAGTAAACCTTTTCCAAGCCCCAACAACTTCAGAGATTATTATCACCTGGGACTAACAAGACACCTCACTTCATGGATTCTCCAGAGTTCAGAACCTCCTAATAGTTTTTTAAGATAGGTTTTTAAAGCTAAATGGAGAACCTTACTGGGTTCCAAAGCATTGTATATATGAAAAATAATGATGTTCTGAAAGTTGGTATATCAAGAGTGACCAGGTAGTTTTCATCCAAGTTGGGGTAATTTTAAGCTTAAAATGGGGCTAAAAATAAAAATTATATGTCATTGAAATGTTTATTTATTGGTCAACAAATTGTTTTCATCAGTAGATCTATAAAATATAAAATAGTCCTATTCAAAAGTTATTTTCACAACTAAAATTCATTCTAAAAAACCAAAAATTGAATAATTCATGTGTGCCACAGCGCAATAACTACTTCATACTGATTACCTAAACATTAGAAAATAACATAAGCAGAATTATGATTGCTGATACATAATCACATTAGTAAATTTTGTGGCCATGTTTCTCACTGACAGAATATCATTATATTTTTATGAAGAATGTTTCAATGTGGTCTAAGTATTTTAGATGTGTTCATAAAATTGCCTGCACTTCAAAGCGGAGTTTAACAGTTAATTATTTTTGAAATTGTGGCATCTTTAATTACTCTTCTCAAGAGACGATAGTGGTTTTGGTAGACAAATACTGTCTTTACAGGTGTAGTACTATGTGGTAATTTCCGCTAACGTGGAATATTTTCACTTCCAATTTTTAAAATACTAAAATGAGTGACTATTTCATAACAAATATTTTCATGACTAATGTCTTTTTCCTCCTTTTCTTTTTATTTTTTTAAAAGATTTTATTTCTTTATTTGACAGAGAGAGAGATCACAAGTAGACAGTAGGCAGAGAAGTGAGGGAAGCAGGCTCCCTGCTGAGCAGAGAGCCCCATGTGGGGCTCTATCTCAGGATCCTGAGATCATGACCCGAGCTGAAGGCAGAGGCTCCACCCACTGAGCCACCCAGATACCCCTTTCCTCCTTTTCATAGGTATCTTTCTTTGGCAAACATTTTATGTAAACCAAGCTTATCAAGAAAGTTTTCCCTATTTTTTGATTCTATAAAATTTTGCTTACTAAATTTAGATGCTGCAAAATCACATGACTTTTCAGTGTCATTTTATTCCAGAACAGAACATAAATTTATGCCACTAA